CGTGTTTCCTGAACTGCACGATGATTCTGCTGACTGTCAAAAGCGGGATTCCCAAATTCCTTTAACAAAATCTGACAATTCGAGAGAACCTTGAGTTCTAGGCATGTTGTAGCACAAAATAATTAGTGTGCGGACCATTTTCATTTATATAGTGCTCTGTGAACACAAATTAATTAGCATAAATCAGTTAAATGACGAAAAATTAGGTGTCTGTTTACTTGTGACCATTCAGTGTACATTATTACATTGTTTTAGAAGGCTTCTTGGGTACTTGAATACGTATGCCAATGTTAACGTTGATATTATACGTAATTACACTGTTAGAATGTTCCCCGGGTATTTGAATAGGTATTCCGATGTTAACGTTGAATATTATACACAATTACATTGTTTTAGAATGCTTCTCGGGTATTTTAATAAGTATGCCAATGTTAACGTTGAATATCATATATAATTACACTATTTAGAATGCTTCTCGGGTACTTTAATACGTATCCCAATGTTAACGTTGAATATCATACATAATTACACTACTTAGAATGCTTCTCGGGTACTTTAATACGTATCCCAATGTTAGCGTTGTATATTATACACAATTAAATTACCTGGTAACTTTTCGTTGGTAGCTATTTGATGCTCTGTTTAAAAGCATTATGAATAATTATATGTATAAATTAAGTATAAAAAGGCATGACATGTTAGTTATATCCTGTTCATGTGTTATGTACTTTTCGAGATACTGTTATCATATATGTTTTAAAGATATGTAACTTATTTCCAAGAGTTGATACACACGCGCTCATATATGTATTTTAAACTGTACTTATAAACCATCAATAAACAAACAAAAATATAAAGATAAAATTAATTTGACATATATATATATGTTAGTTTATTTTTTAACGAAATTACAGTATTTCTTTGATTAAAAGATAAACAAAGAAACCTCATGACACTTTGATACACATGCTCCCTAGTGGCTCAGCGTTAAGCATGCGGAGTTATAAAACCGATGGTGGGCACAACATAGATACTCCATTGTGTACTTTTGTGCTTAACTAGAAACAAAACAATCTTAAATACACAAATTAAAGTTCAAACATAGAAATATGCGAGTAAAATATAAGATCAAAAAGTAAACAGCAGATACCTAATATAAGATCAAAAATTAAACAGCAGATACCTGTCAGTATTACTTACACGGAAAACAGATCATTCTGCTGTTTGAATATTTTCCTATTTTGTCCATTTATGTTAAATGTATGGGTAAATTATGTATATATATATATATATACCATCATTTGCAATTATCAGAAAATTTGTTTTAAACTTAATCTATCGGCTGCAGGTGAGCACATTATGATTTACCTATTACCCCAATCAGAAGATCCAAATAGTTATGACTATCGTATAATTCGTAGTTATTGTCGTTATATACGTCTTTTGTCATTTAATGTGAAAGGACATGGGATGACAAGATATAAAAGCTGCCAACTCAGTAATATCCAAAATGTTAACACACATAGCTAAACACTTACCCAAATTGTCAGAAGTACCGTCATTGTGCAGTAAAAGTTATTTAACTATATGGCCTCATATAAGTCCAACTGTATGAGGTAAGAATCACGATTTTATTAATCCGATGCATGCCCTTTCGCTGCTGCAACAATTATATGATTAGGCATAAAATTTGCTTATTGGTGTTTATGTCACACAGCGCTCTGACTAACAGTAGTAATACTAATTTGTATATGGTTTTCATTACAATAAAAATTGATGCTGTGCGCCATTTAATATAGCTTATTCTGGAGATCCTGGTATTTAACTTCCATAACGGACATGCAGCGCCGCCTCTTAGCCCAAACACGTGTTAATATCGTAGGGATTTTGTGTAGACGGAGCTGCCCGACGCATTTTTTTTATTTTTATTTATTTTTTATTTTGACGGTCTCAATTACAATATCACCCAATTTTTCAAGGCATTAACCTTGGCTTTGTTTTACCAAATGACGTAACTTGAAGCGCTTGGAATGTATGATAATCGAAGTTCACTTGTGTAACTTTGAAATCTGGTTAATCTCGT